TTGGCAAGCAAGCGGAAAAGCTGAGAACCGGCTGTCCAGGGGGGGCCCTTTAAGCACGAGCCTCAGATAGCCTCAGACAGCAGCCACACAAAGCAACTACTGACCCGATGCCCTGCTGGAATCAGTTTCAGCTGGCCTTAAGTGTGACCCAGTGTCCAATCAGTGTGGACGCGCTATTTTGAATTAGCAAAACGCTAATTCGAATTAATTTTTGGGTCTAGATGCGTTATTTCGAATTAGCTTAATTCGAAATAAGTTGGTTCGAATTAGCACTGTAGTGTAGACATACCCTCAGTTTTTTTCCCCTAAAATAAACAAATCCAATTCTTTCAGTCTTCCCTCTTAGGTTTTCTAGATCTCTAATGATTATTGTTGCTCTTCTCTGGACCATCTCCAATGTCTCCACTTCTTTCCTGAAATGTGGTGCCCCCAGAATTGGGCACAATATTCCAGTTGAGGTCTGATCAGCGCAGATTAGAGGGAAAGAATTGCTTCTCATGTCTTGCTCATATCACCCCTGTTAATGCATCCCAAGATGAGGCTTGCCTTTTTTGCTAGGCTGTGTCCAGACTCAGGGGTTTTTTCGGGAAAAGTAGCCTTTTTCCGAAAAAACTTCACCTGCTTCTAGACTGCAGCCGCGTTCTTTCGAAATTAAATCGAAAGAACGCGGCTTTTCTTTCGACGGCGGTAAACCTCATTTAGTGCTTCTTTCGAAAGAAGGCGTTCTTGAATGTAAATAGGGCTTCTTCGAAAGAGAGCATCCAGACTCACTGGGTGCTTTCTTTCGAAAAAGCGGCTTGCTCTTTCAAAAGTTCCGCGTGCAGTCTAGACGCTCTCTTTCAAAAGAGGCTCTTTCAAAAGTATCTCTTGCAGTCTAGACATAGCCCTAGTGTCACACTGTTGACTCGTATGTAGCTTGTGGTCCACTATAATCCTTAGATCCCTTTCTGCCGTAATCCTTCCTAGACAGCCACTTTCTATTCTGTATGTGTGAAACTGATTGTTCCTCCCTATGTGGAGTATTTTGCATTTGTCCTTATTGAACTTCATCCTATTTACCTCAGACTCTCTCTCCAGTTTGTCCAGATCATTTAGAATTATGACCCGATCCTCCAAAGCAGTTATGTCCCCTCGCAGCTTGGTATCATCTGCAAATTTTTAATACATCATGGTAAATTATTCTTCTTGGGATTGTGCAATTACATTACCCTCCAGCTAGACAAGGGCACAGCAAAGATGAGGAAAAATCACTCTGGTTGTTTGGGGCACGTCAGTGCATATTCCTATGTGAGTAAGGCACTTTTTTGGCATGGCGCTTTAAGTGTGTGTTCTGATTAGGCACCAACAGTAAAACGAATCATGCCACATTGTTTTACTAATGAGACAGAGGGATGCAAGGGTTGTGCATGAGCAACAGCAGGTGCTTCAGAACTCCCTCCACTGATTCATCTCTGGTTGCAGGATCCACTTGCAGGTGGCAATGAATATAAATGTGTCTTTGCCTGGCAGTTTTAGGGGGGAGAGCACTGAATCACAGATGTGCCTCTGCCCTGTGGGAATAAAGGGAGCTGAGCAAGTGCACGTGCACAGGGGAGAAAACACACCCAGCCATGTTAGTCTCATTCTCCCCTCCCCCACTCCTCTCAGGCTTCCTGAGAACGACCCTATTAGGGAAGCAGATAAAACCTTCTGTGTGTTTTTTAAAGTTCAGTTCTCC